CATTCTCTACATTCGTGTGATTCGTTGTATTCTTTACATTCTCTACATTCGTGTGATTCGTTGTATTCTTTACATTCGTGTGATTCGTCGTGTTCTTTACATTCTCGTAGTTCATTGTATTCTCTACATTTGGGTGATTCGTCGTATTTTCTACATTTTTAATACGAAAAGTCCCGTCTGAGATTATGAAATAAAATGCTAAACTACAAAAGATGGCCATCCAGAAAATGGATAGCAAATATTTAAAATATTGCATAGTGAAAAATTATATTGTGCAAGATGAAGTAAAAGACATGCATTAGATTTTCTTCGTTGTCGAAGGTGCTAAATAAAAAATTATCAGATGTTTCACAAATTTATTTGCACGACTTAATATAAACCCAGATGCAATATAAACATTGGTAACAGTAAGCCCAATTAAGATCATAAGAAGACATTCATATTACTGGTAGATTTTGTAGATCTGTTAGGATGAAGACTTTCGTATGATTGGCTGTTTAAGTCTATTTCATTTAACATTATTTATACAGTTTAAAGTAGTGGTGGGACTACCGAGTTGTTAACCAATTATTAGTTAGTAATAGTTAATAATTTCGGTAATTGTTAATAAAAATTGTTATGCAAGCTTTTTAATAATTGCATATGTATGTAATTGTTTGGGTCAAAATCCCGACAAACAATCTTGACAAACAATCTTGACAACCAAATTCACGGCGAAAATTATTTAAAATTCAGCTAACACTAACCTAATGCGGGCGAACTTGTTAGGTTTTTTTTTTTTTTTTTTTTGGCTAATAAGCGTGCTATAGTTGTCGTTTATTAACACGGAAATTAAATTCTATTAATGTTTATCTCATTACGTACTAAAAGTTGAAATATAATAAGTGTATTAATAAATAAAATCTTGTCACTTCGCAAACAAGAAAAAAAAAAAAATACTCGTCTGTACATGGTATAAGACATACCCGAGCACTAGTTAAAAAAAAATGTATGGGAATATTGGCATATTTTTCGCCTGCGCGGTACTAATACTAAATAGCTGCGCCATACATTATTAAGTAGTTTTTAGTTAATAACTCGCGCTAATTGTTAATAATTATTAAATTATTAATAATGCGGAGGGTCCCATCACTAGTTTAAAGTACTTTTTTTAAAACTACGAAGAATAATTTAGAGAAGTTAGCATGGCAATCACCAGTCGTTATTATATATGCTAACTTCTCTAAAACCAAAAAGAGATTTTAATTATTTTTAATGGTGGGTTCCTACAACTCTAATAAAAAACTTCTATATACTTCTTTTTGTTTATTCTTCGTAGTTTTATTTTTTTTTTAAAAAAGTACCTTAAACTGTATAAATAATGTAAAATTAAATAGACTTAAGCAGCCAATCGTACGAAAGTCTTCCTACGAGTGTAAAATGGCAAAACGGAAAGTATCTGGTAGGGATGTTATCCTGCTTAAATCTGTTAGTTTGTGCTTTGAAACGGGTGGTGCTCATTTCACCGACAATCACTTCACCGACAACTTAGTTCACCGACAATTAATTCACCGACAAGTTCATTTCACCGACAATTAATTCACCGACAGCTCATTTCACAGCAGGGACTAGTGTTGCTTGCTGCAGAGTTGCAACTTTGCATCTTTCATTAAATTATTTACAACCTCTGCAACCTCTTTTTTACTGCAATAAAAAAAAGATCACAAGATCACAAAATCAAATATCACAAACTCACAAAATTTATTATATAGAGTCGCAAGATTATAAATTGTATAATTGCAAAGTTATGAGTAAATCATATAAAATAAAAAAATTAATCACAGCAAAGAGTCTAACATTAAATTTTTTATCAAAATAGTATAAGTAAAAAAAAGACATTAAAATGGTATTTTAAATTCATTAAAGAAAACATCCTAAAAAACAATTCAATATATATTTAATACATGATATTCAAGCAAAATGTGAATTAAATTTCTTATATCTATCGATTGCTAATTTATAAATTTTTACATTTATATTTATTTACAACTTATACAAAAAACAATGTTATTGGAAAATAGAATTTATTCAGTAAGTTATATTCTACTTTGATAGATATTTATTTTTTACATATGTAGCAATAAAAGATTCTTGCAAAGTTTAAGTATTTTCTAGATTTATTTAATTGCATATGTTGTTACTCCTATATATATAAATATATTAATAAATCAAATAAAAAAATAAAAATACTTCAATATTTAATTTTTTAAAATTTTACTAAACCTCATCTAGTCCCATATTTTGAACAATAATTTCCGGATAGTAATCATCAAAATTTCTTGTATCATTGTCTTCAGAATTCTCATCTGCAATAAAATTATTTTTATTGCTATTAAATGATTCAAAGATTTGCAAATTAAAATCAACAAATGTACTGATTTCTAATTTTAAATTTT